TACGATGCACCTTAACGTTCTTTGTATTGCATATTGAGGTTCAAAGTAGTGCATATTATTCAGCCATAAAATGGCATTTGCACATTAACGTTCAATGAGTTGCACCCTAAAAAAATTGGGTTTTATTACAAAAATGCCACCTTGCCTTTATGTCCTTTGGATCAACTCATCGGATGGTCAAGATAAGTTTGTACTTTGTAAATTAAGAAGGGTTTGTATTTGATTTCTATTCTCTCTCTCTCTCTCTCTCTCTCTCTCTCTCTCTCTCTATATATATATATATATATATATATATATATATATATATATATATATATATATATATATATATATATATATATATATATATATATTCCGGACCAGTTTTCTTTAAAAATTCATTTGACGACCTTCCCGATTGAATTTTTTGCTCAAATTTGGTATGGATGAACTAGACTTGATGAGGAACATACACAAAAAATTTCAGCCAAAAATACCACCGGTTCTCAGGGGTTCTCATTTTAAGAGGGTTCTCACTAGAACCCAGCTCGGTACCCAACTATAGGACCGGTCCGGGCCACCCAAATCGGGAATTAATCAATCCCGGATCTGGCCTCCTAAAAGTGGAACCGGCCCGGATCCGGCCTCCTAAAAGTGGAACCGGCCCGGATCCGGCCCGACCTATTTCTTTTTTTTTTTCCTTCAAATTTTTTGGTTTCTCCCGAGTTGGTCTGGGTGTTTTGGTGGGGTTTGAGGGTGGGGGTGAAGGGGTGGGGGGGTTAATTAGAAAAGCAAAAAAAATTAAAAAAAAAAATAACATGAACCAACCCGGCCTAGCCCGGAATCGGTTCGGAACCGCTGCCTATCCAGGCCGGTTCCGGTTCTTCCTTCCTAAAAAAAGCCCAGCCCGGGTCCATGACTAGTGCTCGTATATCCATAATCCATCATCCAAAGCATTGAATATTTCATATGGACTCATGTTTGCCTATTTTATAGATTTGAATATGATCATAAATTCAAATTTATTTTGTTTTACTTGCAAAACTTTTTTGGGGTACATGCACCATTGCAAAATCTCATCCACAATAAACTGTGTTCCGTAGGTGATAGGGCCATGTACATGATTCAAGACAGATTTGGAAGGTGTGACCTCTTTCATAGGAACTGTAAAGATTTTACCCTGTACTGTAAAACTTCATCAGTAGGAATGTCGAGCTATGTTTCTCGTCACAAAAAGCAAGACATGGGAATGAAAATCAGCATCAATAGATAAACACACTCCTTGTTACGGACAGGGCTCATCAACCATGGCGGAGCATTCATAAGCTTTTGATCTATATTTTACTAGTATGTACGAAGTAGTTTGTAGGAGGCAAATAAACTCTAACGGGTGGACACGATTCTGGTCTCGAGACCGAACATGAGAGAAAGGGGTCTTAGAAATCACTTTCGAGACGGTAACCAGGAGTGGAGCTAGACTCTAATAAAAGGGGGCTGAAACATAATATATGTGTACTAAAATTAAAATATAAAGTATATAAATAACATGAGAAATCATCTCATCAGGCCGGCCTGACGGGCTGCCCCGTCCGGCCGAGCCCGTTTGGGCACCTTCCCGGTGGAATTTTTTGATGAAATTTTTTGAGCATGTTCCTCATCAAGTCTAGTTTGTCCATGCCAAATTTCAGCTCAAAATTCGATCGGGAAGGTCGTCAAATGATTTTTGCAAGTTAACTGGTCCGGAATATGTATTTTCCGGACCAGTTAACTTGCAAAAATCATTTGACGACCTTCCCGATCGAATTTTGAGCTGAAATTTGGTATGGACAAACTAGACTTGATGAGGAACATGCTCAAAAATTTCATCAAAAAATTCCACCGGGAAGGTGCCCAAACGGGCTCGGCCGGACGGGGCAGCCCGTCAGGCCGGCCTGATGAGAAGAGCTCTCAAAATAACATAGTAGTATCACTAACAAAAACGACTCTCCAAATGTAGATATGGTCGCCGGCTGCTATTTTGCTTATCAGGACTCTGTGACAGGAAACCCATCCTCTATCTTCCTCCTTCAGTCCTTTGCTGTGTCACTCTCCACCAGTCCCTCCACGGTCCTCCACCAGTCATCTAACACAAATACGTACTCTGTAAATCAAAACATAAAAAAGATCAAAGATCTATTTTACGTAGTACTCCCTCCATCCCAATTTGATAGTCTCATTTCTTTTGGGCACAAAGTTTAATAAAGCGGTTGAAAAGGTAAAAGTTGTGGTTGAGATTTGAGTATAATAAAGTGAAATGATATGGACCACATCTTTCTTTCCAAAAAGGGAAACAGGACCATCATTTTGAGACATCCCAAAAAGGAAATACAGGACCATCAAATTGGGACGGCGGAAGTATTTATTTGCAATGAATGCGTTGAAGTTTTTATTCTTTCCATGGAAAATAATTAAAGCATCCACTGCATATAAAAATTACGCGGTAAGTATTTCGATAATAAAAACGAGCAAAAAAGATCAGGTCCAGCCCTCCCCGGTCCAGCCGCCGTCCGAACTCCGCCGTTTGGGGCGGTTCCCGGTGGAATTTTTTGATGAATTTTTTTGAGCATGTTCTTTATCAAGTCTAGTTTGTCCATACCAAATTTCAGCTCAAAATTCGACCGGGAAGGCATTCAAATCATTTTTTGAAGTTGACTGCATTTTTATATGTATATTTTGGCGCAGTTATCTTCAAGAATTCATTTGAATGCCTTCCCGATTTAAGCTTTAGCTGAAATTTGGTATGAGTAAACTAGACTTCATGAATACGATGCTAAAAAAATTTCATCAAAAAATTCCACCGAGAACCACCTCAAATGGTGACGTCCGGACAGAGCCTCCTAAATAAGGGCTTATTTGACCTTTTTAGTTAGTACATGGGCCTATTTGCACCTTTTCCCAAAAGTTAATAATATGTCCTTTAGTAGTTTACTTCACTCAAGATTTAATTTTAATTAGAAATATTATAGTTAAGTTCATTACAGTTTGATTATATCTTTTTTATAAAGTTGATTATCAATTATTTGGTTATTTTGTGACTAGTTTACTTAAATTCATGTTAAAAAATCATTTTATTCATAGGAGTAGGCTGATTATTCACAATGGTTAAACCCGGTAAGAATAATGGAGAGGGGTCTAGCTCAAATAAGGATCCTGCTTGTAAGTATTGAATTAAATTGAATCCTCCGGAAGGAAAGACTGGTTATGTATATGCGTCATCATCATCTTCATTACCCATATGCCTCATAGGCTCCCACCAATGGTGGGCTAAGGGGGGGGGTCGGATGTACGCAGTATTACCCCTATACTGAAGCACAGAGAGACTGTTTCCGGATGACCCATTGTGAAAAACTAAAAATTTTGGTACTGCTCGAAAAGAAAAGGTGGGACTTGTTTTAGAATCGGATGGAGTATTTCAATGAAAAAATTTACAAAGTTTTGAAACCATCAAAAAAGCTAGCCAAGTCAATGTGACAAGGGATGAAAGTCAATGGGAGGAGAAGCACAAATTAGATACTTTCAATGAAGGAAGGTTTGAATGATCTTTCACTAACTTCTTATATGACATCCCTCAAAGTTACTCCATCCATAACATTGTCCACATTTCTTCTTTTAATTGTCTATAAAATTTGTCACTATACATATGTAGTAAATAAATCATGGTTCTCCTTGAGTCCTTGATTGATTTATGTGGACTAAAAATAGCGTCCCAAACTCTTCTAAAACTTTCTAAAACAAGTCCCACCTTCTAAAACTTTCTTGTTCCCAAACTAAATAGCGTTCCAAACTGAGCTCTAAAGAAAAAGAAGAGTACCTCGGCATGATATGAAGGTGTTAACACAGTCATCTTGTGTCTGTTAATGGCATAATACTTGAAGAAGTGCTTCAAGTATTAACACAGTATCCATCACCATCATCTTCATTATCAATCTATTATTACCATTTGCATGTTGCAGTATGATTGTAGTTCAGCTGATGTAAATCCAATCGGAAGTATTAGCAAGATGGATCTTCGAACATTTCTGAGATGGGCAGCCATTCATCTTGGTTACTCATCCTTGGCAGAAATTGAAGCAGCTCCTCCCACTGCTGAATTGGAACCTATACGCTCTAACTATAGTCAGGTGCCACTTTTTGTGCATTCTTGTATTCTTTCACTCTTTGTTCCAGACACGCCTTTCATTATCTACTTCTTTTTATACTAAAGTATGAATGTGCATGCTCTATTTTTGCAAAGCAGCTGGATGAAGTGGACATGGGAATGACATATGAAGAACTATCAATTTATGGAAGAATGCGTAAGATTTACCGTTGTGGACCTGTATCGATGTTTAAGGTTTGTCCCCAGCATATTAAATATTAGGCATTTTTTGATCTTATATAAACTGCATTTGCATTACACACTACACTTGGCTTTGTAGAACCTCTGCTATAAATGGGGTACAGTGTTGACTCCGAAAGAGGTGGGCGATAAAGTGAAGCACTTCTTCAAGTATTATGCCATTAACAGACACAAGATGACTGTGTTAACACCTTCATATCATGCCGAGGTACTCTTCTTTTTCTTTAGAGCTCAGTTTGGAATGCTATTTAGTTTGGGAACAAGAAAGTTTTGGTAGAGCAGTACCAAAATAATGCCGAGGAACTCTTCTATTTACTCAACTAAAAATTTCATGGACTGACTGATGCTTCATAACAAAGAAGCGCAGACAGTTTAGTGAGCCATTTCGCTTTATTCCATCATATTTCCAAGCCAAAAAATAGTGAGTGAAGACTGTGGAGTGAAGAGACTTAAAGAGCACCTTGCGGGAACACATAAAAATGTGGCGCAATGCAAAAGTGTTCCTTAAAATGTTAAAAAGGATGTGCTAGCAATGATTCGAGCTTAAACTCGAGCCGAGCTCAGCTCGGTTCGAGCTTAAGTTGAATATTGCTATAAATAAAATTTATAGCAAATTACTAAAATTACAGAAAATTGTCAACTAGGCCCACATAGTGTATAAAAAAGTCAATTAAACCCTCGAACTAAAAAACCCCAATTAAGCCAACCAACTTTACAAAAACAATCAAATTTCTAATTTATCAGGTGAAGTTCCGGGTTACCCAGTTGCATTGCTAACGTGGCGCAACCCGATTGTTCATTTTTTATTTTATTTTTTCTTTTCTTTTTCATTCTCCTCCGGGAGAACTGGAGAAGTTATCCCCCTCCTGCCAACTTTCTTCTTCCCCAGACATTTCTCCAATTCTCCCTCTCACCTCGTACTTTCTTCTCCCTTTCTCTTCCACCAAACATTTCTCCCTCTCACTGCTACTTTCTTCTTCCTTTGTTTTTATGATACGGCACATACTAGCAATTCGGAATTGAAATAAAACTAGTCGCCTAACTGTCGTCTTGGCGGGCGACTTGTCGAACAGCTCCGGCAAAAGTAACAAGGAAAAAAGAAAGGAGAAAGAAGCAGGGGGGAGAAGAAAAATGGTTGGCGGAAATATATATAATATATTATAAATATTTATAATGTGCTACTAGTCGCCTAATTGTCGTCTAGGCGGGGGCCTTGTCACCTAGGCGATATGGCAGTTGGCTGACGCCGCAACTTGTCTTACCGCCGAGACAACTGTGGTACTACCATGTGTCATTTCCAAGCACTCTCCAACCTAGAACATTACATGAATAAGATCATGGGCTAAGTTAGCATCCAATTTTTTCCCAAAAGGTTAGGGGAAAAAATTCATTTGGGTAAAAAAAAACTCACTTGGGTCAAACATGTTTCCTTTTCTTCTTGATAAACGTGTCATTGTCATTTGGGTCAAACACGATTGGTTGTCTTCTTAAGGGTGGAGACAACAAGGTAGGTTTGTCGCCCTCTTCTCTTCCTTCCATGTGAGAACATAGTCAACAATAGAGACAGATTGCACACCTTCTACATCCATCTTCTGCACATTGTAAAATTACTTGAAGTTAATATTACGTTTGACAAAGACACCAACATTTCTCATGAAATTGTATAATGACAAACTATGGTGGCAGTGGCGATTGATTATGGCTATGATGATCATGATGATGATAATGATGATGATGATTTATTACGCGTCCTAAAGAGCATCCACATAGGGATTTCAATGCTGTGTAACAATCTTCATACTGAATCGAGATTCCGTCATCACCAAAACCAAAAGACCTATCAAAATTAATTAAAAAAGTTATCAACTCTAATCTATCTTAAACATCTGATCATATAATAGCGACAAATTTCTTCCTAAAAAATGTTCACATCCCAAAAAGACAAGCTTTTAGAATCCAGATATAAATAATACTTCGTATTAAACATAATTATAATAACAATAGTCAGAACAAAATGCAAATGAAAGAGGGTCAATGTAAATGTACAGTTACCTAACCACACCCAGAGTCTCTAGTAACATGCGAAGTGATCCAGGTTGCTCAGCAAACCATTGATTCAAACCCTTAATAATGAGAGTAGGTATCTCTGGAAGAAAAAACGATAAATAAAGGGAAGGATGAGATTTTAGAATAGATTCACCGTCACACAACAAATAAATGATCATTAGGATCATGTTTCCATTTTATGAACCAACTTCCTTCGTCCCACTTTAAGGTTCTCACTTGTTTTTTTGGACGTCCTATCAAAAGATTCTCATTTTTATTTTAGGAAATACTCCCTCCGCCCCACTAATATTGTCTCATTTTACCTTTTCGGGAAACCTCAGTAAAATGGTCCCATACCACATTTGGTAAAGTTTGTGTGGCTCCAAATCATTCTTACTTTATTCTTATTTTATCAATTAATATCAACCACATTAACCTATTTTTCTTAATAACCGTGTCACCCCCTTCCATCCCAATATTAGCGGGACGGAGGTAGTAATTAACTCTTAAATGACAATTTAATTATCAAATATTAATAATACAGAGTACTGTATAACATCACAGTTATCATCAATGACATCATTATATTATATAATCATCAAAACTATTTCTCAAAATATACTCTAGTTACTTCATATAATTACTGTATGGGTAACTATGTTATTTTCCAATGGGAGCATTTAGCCGGGCGGTAGTATTAATTTAAAAATTGTATTCAGGAGCGGAGCCAAGGGGGTATGGGTGGCCAGCCAACCCCCTTGAAAGTTCAAGAATATAGAACACTGAAATACCTTCGGTTTGATACATTATGGCTCTCGTGACTCATTACGAGTAAAAGATTATGACTTCTGAAAAATCAACATTATCTAAATTATTATTACAAGAAAATAATAATCTCAACTATTGTCGGTCCGTCATTAATAATCCCAACTATCGATTATTTCTGGGTGATCCCAACTATATGGACCATTTTCCAAAAATTGCCCCTAACCTGTACCTTTCATCTTCTTCCTCTTTCAATTCCTCACCTACCTCATATGAGAAGGCATAAAGGGCTTTAGCAAGCAAGGAAGGAGATACACTATACCAGCAGCAGTTCTCCCAACTATGGAAGTAATGGAACAGAAAAGCATATCTACCATGTATAACTTCCAAAATTGGTTTTCTTGCATGTAAGCAGTTCTTTCACCAGAAAGAGACATGGCCATTTTTAAATCTTGTTTCAATTTCACCTTTTCATTAGTTTCAATGTATTGTTCCACATAATTTCCCATTGTTTTCTCAGTGATAGAATTTGTAATTCTGAGCTCTCCTGTCAAAGGGCCAACCCACAATTTGGTAGGTGATGAATGTACTTGGACCTTTTCCATTACAATGTACGAAAGCAAAAAAAAACAGATGAACCACACTCCTCTTTGCATACGACATCCCCAATTATACTCGCAGTATCAACATGAAGAGGAAAAAATATGAAGTCTGAAAAATTTTCAGGGCTTGCTGCAATTGCAAATAAACTGTTCTCACCAGGTGGAACCTCAAGGCAACACCTTCCAATGTCATCTATCTTCTTTCTTGATGTGTCATGTTTTCTAGTCCATGAATAAGAATTACTTCTTCGATCAAAGCATCTTTTGGAGGTGAGTTGGAATCTGAATCCAAATTTTCCATACCTGCCGGATCTTCTTGTGGATATCCCATAGGTTGCATAATACCATCACTCAGTATCCGGTTCCAGATATGAAGATGTGGCTAGCTTCAATTCAGTGTTCATTGCCAATGGTGGAATGCCCTCCAATCCTTCTCTTCATTCAACTAGGTGGCTCTTGAAACAGATGACACATGTGGGGACGTTGTACCTGACGCACGATGAGAATAGGCGAGCGACTGCAAACTAGAGATTTCTGTTTGCGACACAGTACGCAAACTAGGAGAAGTGATTCGCATATGCGAACTGGGATAAATGACAAATGATGATGCTGACTGCAAGGAAACCTGAGAACGATCGAGGAATCCAGCAACTGCGCCATCTTCAGGTCCATAGGTCCATCGGCAACTGTAGATTGCTCCTTGATTTCGTCTTCCGGATTTTGATTCTTGATTACAGATTCATCTTGCTTCAACTCAGTGTTCCTTATTGAATGGGGAGAATCTTGCTCAGGGTGAGAAACGACTTGCGATAAAACTTGCAAACAAGAAGATTCTTCTCTTGATCGTGTTGCCTTCTGATGCGAGTTGATCGCGGATGATGATGTCTGCGGACTGTGAGACGTAATTCGCGGCTGTGAACTGTGAGAAGAAGTTCACGACTGCGAACTGTGAGACGAGGTTCGCGACTGCGACCTGGGAAAATCTGTTCGCGACTAAGAAGAAACGTGTGCACTTAGCGACGAACTGAGAGATGAGGTTGACGACCACGACGAGCACTGGTATTCAGACGGCTGACAACGTCTAGGGCTCCTCACTCGAAGTGCGATGATTCCAATCTCTCCTTGATGCGAAGCACGATGCGACGTGTGCGATTGATTCCTCGATTGATGTTGGTCTCTGCTAACCAAGGTCGCGAGTGTCGCCTGTATTACTGCCAAAGTCTCCTTAGTTTTATTCTGGTTTTTCTCCAGCTCGTTCACCCGTAAATCCATTTGCGGACGAGTAAAGGCCATCCACAATTATCAACGTGCTCCGATACCAGTGATTGACATGCTCCGACACCACTTATAGACCTCACGCAGGTAGGTACGAATACAAAAAGATGAAAATAGTATTCAAGAAACACTTCAAGCTTTCATTAATGGAAGAAAATGTACAGAAAGATCCCAACAAGAAAAGAGATGTGATATTTCAGTTCTCCCAGCCCAAATCAAATATCTAACAACGTGCTTCTTATTACACACTCCCCTCCTATTTACACTACTCTAGCTAGTACTCTTCTTTTTTACTATTATTCTATCGGGTCCCTATCAACTACCCAGGGCAGTGAACCGGCTGGTTGTCCATATGGGGGCTAGGAAACATCTTCCTCCCTCAGGCGGTCATTGGAATCAACATCTGCACAACTCCCCCCATATGCCACTTTTGAGTAGTGTTTCAATTGGTAAAATAGTTCACCTACACAGTAACAGTAGGCCGAAGATAGTAATGTATGTAATAGCTATGCACTAGTTTGTAGAAAATCAGCCTATAATGTGAATTCTTTGTTTATTCAGTACACTACTGCAAAATTAGTTATTAAGTTGTTCAATCTGATTTAAGAGTAACACACATTTATAAATTAAATAGTAGAACCAAGCCATGAATACTCAAAAGGATGCGAAGAGCATCTCCGATGCAAAAACGTGAACGGTGTACAAGTGAGATGAGAGAGATAGACACATCAAAATCAATAAGTACAATATCACTCTACTTAATTGAATGGTCTTATATGTCTTTGGTACGTTTCTCTTCACAATGTCAAGTACAATGTCTAGATGTAGATATTGTGGTTAACCTTATTGAGAAAAACTTGCCAAAAAAAATATAAGACCATGGAAAGAATGAGAGAGAAATGTCATGAATTGGTTCTTTTGTGTGTCTCTCACATGAGACATATGCACCGTGCACATTATTGCATTGAAGACGCTCAAATATGTTGATCAGGTTTTGATGATGTTGGAACTTTTTAGTAATCCCTCAAAAGGATGATTTATAGCCTCCCCTTTTTAATACATTCTACTCAAAAACCTGGTTGTAATACACAATTATATTATCTTCCATTTTACATATATGATTAGTTTAACAATTTTAAAAGTGGAATTGATTAGTAAAATTGAATTATCCTACCCCAAGAATGAAAGGTTCACCAATAATAAATGTATATTGAACTTTTCCACTTATCATATAAATGTATATGATAAGTGTACTCATCATATATACTACCTCCGTCCCCCTAAGTTTGGGACAAGAGAAGGTGGCACGGTTATTAATAAAAGTGGGTTTATGTGGTTGGTATTGAATTGATAAAGTAAGAATAAAGTAGGAATGATTTAGAACCACACAAACTTTACCAAATAAGGTATGAGACAATCTTAGGGGGACGGACCGAAAAGGTAAAACGAGACAATCATAGCGGGACGGAGGGAGTATGATTTAATTTAATGCTTGGATATCACATATATGTTTTTTTAACCATGTGTTATTTGGATAATAGAAACAAAACTGAGTATATGGAGTGCAAGTTTGGTGGAGGTAATTAGGTAAAAATAGTAGCAATAGTGGGATTACTCTTCATGGTAAGGAGATATCGGCGTGTGATATGTTTCGTTATTTGGGCTCCATAATTCAGAAGGATGGTGAATTAGATTGAGATGTATCCCATAGATTAGAGCTGGGTGGATGAAATGGAAAAGTGCATCAGGATTTCTATGCGATCGAAGTATGCCGACTAGACTGAAAGGTAAATTTTATCAAACAGCAATTAGGCCTGCATTAATGTATGACGTAGAGTGAAAAATGAGTGGCAGAGATGCATATGTTGGGTTGGATGTGTGGACATACCAGGAAAGACCGCTTGAGAAATGAGATAATCAGACCAAAGGTGGGAGTAGCACCTATAGAAGATAAGATGCAGGAGTCTCGTTTAAAGTGGTTTGGGCACGTGCGTAAAAGACCGAGTGATGCACCTGTTAGACGACTTGAGGGATGGAGAGAAGAGGCAGAGAGAAGGGAGGGGAAAACCCAAACAGACTTGGGTTAGAGGAATCAGAACTAATATGCGTCTTCTTGGGTTTAATGAGAGTATGACTTTGGAGAGAGCAAAGTGAAGAGCGCACATTCGTGTGGACAATTGATCTCTTTTTATCTTTTCTCTCTCTTTTTCTTTTATCATTTATCTTCTTTATCTTTTTTTGTCTTATGTTATTTTTATCTTCTAACTTTTCTATGCTCTTTTATCTTTTTATCTTTTATTTTTCTTATATTTTTATGTTATCGTTATCTTTATCTTATCCGTTGATCTTACTTTTTTTCTTATGTGTGTCTGTTCTCTTTTTGGCATCGATATCACGGATCAATTCATGTTAGCCGACCCCAAAAATCTTTTGGGATTAAGACTTGGATGTTGTTGTTGTGTTATTTGGATACCCACACTCATTATATTTCTAGGTGATCATGTTATTTTGATATGATTTATTTTAGGCGGGAGCAAGGTAGTCAAAAGTGCTCGCCCCAGTGCTTAACTGTGTTGTAAGAACCGACCCAGACCGCTCGGTTCGGCCCGGAACCCGCCCACCCGGTCATCACGCCGGTTCGGTTGACCATCAAACCGTCCCAAACCTGGGATTTGAGCAAAACTTGAAGAAAGTAGGGGGTGGGATTCGAATTCACGCCTACTGCACCCATTCGACACTCCTGACCAACGTGTTACACTAGTTACTTGTTGATAGTTGTTGCTTTATTGTTTTTATAATGCGTTAACATGAAATGTTTTTGGTAAGTCTTAATTAATTAGTTAATTACATATTTAATCTATAACAATAATAATGATAATTACATATCAATGTTATTATTATACTTCCCAACCACGTACTTAGTATATGATCTTCCCATTTTTATTATTATTTTGTAATTAGTATAATGTTCATTTTTATTATCTATATAAATTCAAATGCATTTTAAATATTGTTAGTCAATATACTTTAGTACAATTTTTTTTGGCATTGCTTATATTGTATTGTCATTGTTGAAGTTTGTTGAAGTTTGAAGGAATACAATTTTTCTATTTATGAATTTACATCTTTTATATAACTAATTATATATATATATATATATATATATATATATTGGTGTTGACCGGATTTACCGGTTGTTGACCGGGCTGACCCGCCGGTTCCGGGTTGACCCATGACCCAGTCATTTGTCCGGGTCGCTTCCCGTTTCGGTTTTTACAACATAGGTGCTTAAGTGCACCAGGCGCAGCGAGTAGGGCCTTCAACGCTTGGGAGAAGGGAAGGTGCATACACCTGCGTCAGGCGCAGCATAAGCACATGAAGCGCCGCAGCGCAAGGAGGCGCACGCCTGGGTCACCTGATCCGAAAAAGTATGACAAGCTTTTTTTTTTGTTTAAAACTTTCAAAAATAATTAGCCCCAACATCTTTATTAACACTCACCCATCTAAATAATAGGGTAAAACCATTGAAACCTACATAAAACCTTAAGTCAAGTACGTAAAAACGTAAAACCTTGCGTAAATCACTACGTTATCATCATTAGTCATCATTGCTCTTCAGTCTACCCAATCTTCTCACTCAAGCTGCTCTGCACCGGCCAGTTCTGTCAGTTTTCTTCATCTCTGAAGCAAACTCAATTCTCCTTCACGGCACTAAACAAGATATGTGTTCTTTTTCATGCAATCCTCTTCATCCAAATACTAGTCTATAATACTCTATAGTATTACTATGCATATAATACTCTATATTACTCATGATAAAGTAATAATACTCTGCATTACTCTATATTACTCACATCACAAGTATATTGATATTTATATAATATAAAAATAAAGTAATAATACTATGTATTACTCTACATTACTCACAGCACTAGTATATTGCTATGTATATAATAAAAAAAATACTCTGTATTGCTCTATATTACTCGTAGCACTAGTATATTGCAATGTATATGATAAAGTCATAATACTCTGTATTACTCTATATTACCCACAGCACTAGCATATGGATGCGTATATAATAAAGTCATAATACTCGGTAACTCTATATTACTCACAGCACCATGGTTCAATATGATGTTACATACATCATATTAAAGTAATTATAGAATAGTAAAGCGGTTCATTTGCGCCTTGGGCGCTGGAAGGCCGCTAGCGCTTCAAGTGCGCCTTTCTACTTTGACTACCTTGGGCAGGAGAGACGGTTGAGAATTTGGTTTACACAGACTTTTTCTGGAAAGGCAATACATTAGACATCACCATTATTGCCCATGTCCACTTGTGATTTAAGTTTTAACTGTGATTGGCTACACTATAAAATGATTGAGATGTGTTTTGAGTGATCACTTACGAATTGGGAAGTTGTAAATCAGCCTAGAGTGATAGCGTTGTATTTGCATAGACACTTAAAAAGAGCAGCAGTAGGCAAACAAATGAAAGGGGGGAAACCTGGGTTATAAGCAGTTCGGGAAGTGATTGGAATGGAAGCCATCATTTTATCTGGATCTTCTTCGGGTGGCAGGGTTATTGTAAGTGGATAGGTGAAATTCATCCATTTGACTTTATATGGTTTAAACTTCGTCAGCAAGAAGTTACGAAGTCCGATATAAAACTCTTTAGATGTAAATCTATCGTCTCTAATATAGACGCAGCCATATGCCATTATCCACGTCCCTTCATTTTTAACGATTTTAGTCTGATCCAGAAGATGGACATTGATGTCACAAGCTGGAATTTCGAGATATCTGTTATGCACTTGGAAACAGTGGAAGTAGGCGGAGAGAAAACATTTTATATTAAACGCAGTTACATTCCCACCCCTGGAATCTGTGCAGCCCATGGTAAACTTAAATTTTACACGAGGAACAAGTGAGAAGGAGAGACCTTCATCAGCTTTTCCACTTTCATCTGCAATTATATTCACGAAAAACTATCACATCAAAATTACCATTATGGAGTCATAAACAACTAACAGAATTGATAGTCATGTATTTTCCAGACTACTTTTAAATAAACACTCCCATCTGCTGCAAGAGAACACTTTTAGCTCAACAAAAAGGAAAATGAAAAAACTTATGCACTAACGATAATGATTAAGTAACAATTGAAATGATAAATTGAATGAATAGAAACCGGTGAGGGTGAGAGTGTGAGCTTCTGCGCCGGCGACTACGGTAATCTTGTGGGCCAGTTTGAGGGAATCAAGTGGTGGCGCGGATGATTGCGAGATTTCCTCCATTGCTGAGAATGTTTTCAAAGTTGGTCGTTTCTATTCGACTCCGAACACGGAAGATGCGTAGGGTCACTAGGGTGTATGGAGCACGGGAATTTTATGGAGTTGAAGATGAGGAGGAATATTTAGGGATTATGATAGGAGTTATGGAGGATTATTTGGTGAGATTATTTGACAAAATAATTCAAAATTGAAATATGAATTTTCAGATTATCTTAAGATTATTATGAAGGTATTATTAATTACTGGGTGCAGACCCACAAAAGATCCGATTAATTTGAGATTTGATGAATGATATAGATATTTTTTTGAAAGTATGAATGATATAATTTTGGAGGTATGAGATTACTTTGAAAAAGTCTACGTGTCAATCTAAAATCCCTTTATTCAAGTAACATTAATGTGGATGCTCTAAGGGACTCCATTTTATGAAATTTTATGACATGATGATGTGGTATAATGATGGGGCCCACCAGTAAATAAGATAACTACTACTCCGTATATACTCCGTAGTATACAAGTACTCCGTATTTTTTTACCCTTAGCCCGATCGTTGAACTTCAAAGTTAATTACGTGATTTTGCGGAGGAAGCATCCGGCGACAAAAAAACGGATAATAGCAAAGAAATCCTGGAATTACGTAAATGGAGAAAAGTGAAGTCGATGATAATAGGCCAATAAGCACCGGAGGAGATGAAGCTCCAACAAATTCTAGGCGGGATGCAATAATCAATGGAATTGGAGCTCAAACCCTTGTTTTTCACTACGATGAGGGTATAAATCCACAATTGAGCAGTCAACGAGTAGAAGGAACTCACGTCTTCTTAAATAAATACTTGAATAAGAAATACACCGTCCGTCAATGTTTTACACGCATAACTAGGGCAATTGTTCGCCAAAGGCATCGTGAGCATGTTGCTGACCATCGAGATCAGAATGAAGTGTCACGACTATTATAAAGCTATGTGATGGAAAAACGAATGTCACGCATGTACACAAAAGCAGGTTTCTGAAGTTTCAAAAAGAATCTGGTGCATGATAAACCTTGCCTGATTCACTTTTTTAATATTTACGAAAATTTTACTGTGTCTAGATGTTGGAAAAGTTCATTAGATACGAAATTTCGAAAAATGCATTACATTGAGATTATTGTGCATCATATTGACCGGTTGAACGGCTGAAATTAATTCATATTTTACACGTTAATGATCCTTTTTATTTGAACTTTCTTTGTATGAAGTATGTATTATATAGTTAATGAATAAGATCATTGCATCCCTGCACCGTCTAAAAAGTTAAATATGAAATCCGTGGTTATGAAAACAGTGTTTAGACTCTGTCAATACCACTTTTCAATAGAGTACACACATCATATTTTTTACATATCGATTTATTAAAACATTAATTAAATTGTTGTCACTAATGTTTTTCTCGATAATCATGGAATTAAGGAATACACATTTAAATGTTGGCATGTCCTTTCATGGAATTAATGTGCACACATTGCATGTTCGTATTGTTGGACATTATCCTCATAACTGATACAAACCCTATGTTCATTTAAAAGCTCTGCTAATAAATTTACCTCTTATTATATATGTGATGACATAAATACCAGCCCAATATGGTAAGCCCGATTGAAGGTGGGCTTAGCCCGTAAATGATATGGACAAGACGATCATGGGCATCAGGCACAAGGAAGTACATGGTCAACATACCCGGGATGAGAATCATGGAGTCACATTTACAAAGATATGGCGCGCTGAGCATGACGTGATCTTATCTTTACAATGGGGGTTTAGACATGACATGCTGAGCACGACACACTCTTACCTCTACCATGGGATTTGAATACGGCCTGCTGAGCATCACATGGTGAGCCTCAACGCGCATGGCGCACAAACACTTAGACCATTGCACATGCATAATGTTACTTCCAAGAAGCTACGTGACCAACAACAAATCTCGGAGATCGCGGGTCAACTTGCTATCAGCCCCACAAATCACAAGATGGTGGCGCGTCAATTCAGGCATGGTGACCACGTCGCCCGAATATTTCTTGTCTCAATTTTGTATTATAAATTCATGCAACTCTTGTAAGAATGGACAAGCTCAATACACTTATTACACTACATACATTTATCTCTCTAAAGATTATCCTGAGCACTTTAATTATTTTCGGCTATCTCTTATTAATTATTTTCCGGTGGATTTACTTCCATCATTTTGGTGCTTTCATTGAGAGCTGAAGATACACTCAGGCAATTTCAGACGTTATAACAATGGCTACTACCAGGGCTGAGAAGGAGGTACCTGCTGATGGACATACTGCGTCCAACTCATCAGGTCAGGATCTTCGTAACCGACTGAGTCGCCCTGCGGTGGTTCCCGTAGAAGTGCCTGACGTCCACGGTGCCATCCTAGGGATGACCAAGATGTTAGGTACTCTTGCGAAGGACGTACGCCGTGCAATTCCTGGCGCTCAAAAGCCTCCTCAACCACACGGAACTCAAGCTCCAACTAATCGTCCGATGGTGGAGATGGAGGTGACATCACCAGCGCCATCTCGAAAAGATGGAGAGAGGAGAGAAGGACTATGGATTCCTGCCCCCTCCAACCAACCAGCTCGGAGTGAAACCTCGGTGTTTAGCAGGTTGGGAGACCGACGACGCTCTGCTAAAGACCGTATCGGACGATCTCACCATGTGGAGAAAGAAAGGGATACACAAAACCACCATGGACGACGCGACCATGACAAGGAGGAGCGTGCGCATATTCCCAGAATCACTCACGTGACTGCCAGTCACCATTCACTAGGGCACATGACTGAGCATGTCGGTGGGACTGAAAAACGTTCACAAAGGCCGAGGAACGCAGAAGTAGAGGACGGTGGCAAGAAACATGTGACGATACACGTAGACAGAACCGAGAATGATCCGAAAGATGTGGAGGTGAGGAAGCTATGGAGAAAAATCGAGGACCTGCAGCGACGAGTGGATGCAGGAGATGGACACATAGACGCTAAATTGAAGACGGTGACCCCGTTCACCACACGGATCATGGCATACCCGTTACCGGTTGGCTTCAAGGCGCCCCATGTCAAGGCCTATTCGGGAACCTCAGATCCCCAGGAACATTTGTCACGTTATTATGCTAATATGATTATGATTGGGGCATCGGAGGAAATAATTTGCCGATGTTTCCTAGCTACGTTGGAGGGTACTGCGTGTTAGTGGTTCAATTCTCTCCCCCATGGCTCGATTGATGAGTGGGAGGACTTAGCGCAAAGGTTTCTTCAACACTTTGCTGCAAGCAAAAGAACCAAGCTACACTACTCACACCTCCTGACCGTGAAGCAGAAGAAGAGTGAGGACTTAAAAGATTTCGTGATACGATGGAGGAAAGAGTCTGCTGCCGTGCATGGGGCAGATGACCAAACTCGTCTTGCCATGTTCCAGGCAGCGTTACGAGTTGGGGAGTTCGCCTCAAGTCTCATTCGGGACCCGCCAAGGTCGTACCAGGCGGCCCTTCAGAGGGCCGACCGATACGCCGATGCGGAGATTCGAGAGGTGCAAAAGAAGAAGGATGAGTCATCGGAACCTTGGAGGGAAGGGTCTACCCCTCACCACAAAAAGCAAAAGAAAAACAGGAAAGATTTCAATTATGGTCCAAGGCAGATTTCTAATGCGAGCCCAGTGTCCCTAACCCATCCGGTGGGCACGATCATGGACTATGCCGAGCGTACGGGTCTCATGCAAGGACCAAGGCCAGAGCGTGAAGTGTACGCTGTCTCGGGTGCTAAAAAGTATTGTCGCTATCACCGGGTTGATAGTCATGATACAGAGGAGTGCTTCACTTTGAAACGAGAGATTGAAAGACTGATCCAAAGGAGTCATTCAAATAATTTCGTCAAGGGGGCCACGCAACAACCCAACCATGTATGGAGGAAGCCTTCAGAACAAGTGGCGTGCACGCAGCAGGAGACACGCATGGCGGAGAAAAGGCATATCGGGAATGAGAGCGACGAGGAGGCCTCGGAAGAACCAGGGCCGAAACGGGAGAGAAGACACCATGACATCAATTTCATTTATGGAGGTAATGCGGGTGGTGACTCTTCATCCCTGCGGAAGAAGTGGGCCCGTCAATTGTATATTGGTGAGATCATGCACTCTCCAATGAAAAAAAAGGTACGACGTGAGCCTATATGTTTTACTGATGATGACCTACCACCATGTCCAAGCCCACACCGGGATGCCATGGTTATCAAAATGGAGATTAATGATCTTGTCATACACCGTACCCTGGTCGACACGGGAAGTTCCGTAAACATAATGTACATCGACACTTTCGAGAAACTGAAGTTGTCTAAAGGAAAGCTCCATCCGATCAAGACTCCATTGTCTGGGTTCACGGGTGACTCTATCGAGGCAGAAGGAGTCATCACAGTCTCAGTGGAAGTAGGGGACACGTCCCACAAAGTGAAACTCGACATGGAGTTCGTAGTCGTTCGATTGGCATGTGCACATAATCTTATATTTGGACGACCAGGGCTGGAAGATTTGCAATGCATTGTGTCCCCGACACATCTCTGCATTAAGTTCCCAACACCGACCGGAGTGGGGATAGCACGCAGGAACCAGAAGCTCGCCCGAAGATGCTACATAAAAATCACAAAGAAGGTGGGGCGTCATGACCTCCAGGTAAACACTGTCGCCACGCAATATCAGGATGAAGAACAAAGGCCCCGTGCAGAACCCGCAGAAGGGACAGAGGAGGTCACCCTTGACCCCGAAACACAAGAACGGAAGGTTAAGATAGGAACCGGATTGGGGACTGAGCTCCGTGCCGAAATCATAGCCGTCCTGACCATGTACCAAGGTGTATTTGCGAGAGGACCAGAAGACATGCCAGGCATCAGCAGAGATGTTATTTCTCATCGCCTGGACGTGGATGCCACGTCAAAACCAGTAAAACAAAAGAAGCGTTTCATGTCCTCAGACAGGCGGGAGTTCGTAAGGAATGAAGTGGGCACCTTGTTAAAAATCGGACATATCAAGGAAGTCAAATACCCAGAATGGTTAGCAAACGTGGTATTGGCGCCTAAACCCCCAACATG